AAATCTACAGCCCTTCGCTCCTCTTCATGGCAGCTTGAATGATGTTAAGAATATGACTGAGCAAATCATTTTGGAGAGCTGAGAAATCAAGGGCAAAACCAAAGGTTACGGCCTTCTATACATGAGCTACAAATAGCTCTAATGTGGGAAAGGAGATATAGCACAGGTTTCAGGTAGCACCCCTGGTTGCTATACAGATGGATTAGAGAGGAAAGCTGATGCTGGTGGTCTTCGAGGTAACCAGCCAGGGAAAGGCCCAGCTGAAGCTGTGAGGAGAAGGAACCCCCAAGAGCTCTCTTATATTCTCGTTCCCCTCCATCTTCTGTTCCCTGGCCTTGGTTGCCTCTCAAAGATCATCTACTTCAAGGCTTCAGTCACCACAAGAAAACAAGAAGCCTGAGGAACTGCTTCAGGAGTACAGGAGAAGTCAGTACAGTACAGCAGACTAGCTAGCAACCCTGCCTGCTACCTGGTTCCAAAGCCAGAACAAGGGCGGGCATGGTACTGGGAGAAGTTCCTGAGAGAGACATGGAGGCAGAGACAACCTTCCAAATACTGTTTATTTCACTAAAATCTGGAGAGCAGCAGGGAAGAGGAATGCCAATGTCTGAGACACCAAGCCTAGGAGTGCACATTGACAACAGCAACATACAGGGCCAAGGTGCTGAGGGCCAACAGCCCTGTTACCACTGCTCGGGCCAGCAGTGCTGTCCAGCTGCCCAGGGAGCAGAGGTGGACAAAGGTCCTGTGGAGGAAACATTACAGTGAGGGAAAGAGTATGGAAAACTCACCCCTATTTGGACCCTGCCACGCAGCCCACCCCACTCACTCCATGACAAAGGCCTTGTAGACACTGAGGAACATCAGTAGGAGTACAGCTGGCCGGAAAGTGTGGTACAGGTCATAGCGAGTTATCATCCAGACCTGGGCCGATGCAACGATGTAATGGACCTGGAGGGAAGAGGAGGAAAGGAGTTGGGGTTGAACCTTGAGAAGAAATATGGTCATCGGCAGAGGCATGTATTTATCTATGGCAGGGAGAACAGGGCCACATACCAAACTGATATTAGAGTCAATGCTCATCTGAATGTATTTCCAGTCAAATTCAATTCCTCGGGCTCCGACCCAGAGAGGGATGCAGCTGAGGAAGATAAAGGGAAGGATTCTCTGGTATCAGGATCCCCTGAGAACCTAGACTCTGCCCCCACCCTCCAGCACCCCCCTGGAGCGAGGGTCCTTTCTCAAGCTCTGGGATCCAAGCTGCTGCCCACACACCGGGACATGATGAGCTCAGCAGTGGCCCAGCCCAAGGCAGCAACCATGATCTTGTACTCCCCCTTGCCGGCATTCCTGGACATGACAAGGTTTAGGCCTATCAGGTCTGCCACATCCACGCTGGCCTTCATGAACTCCTGTGGGTCAGAGTGAAGCTTCAGTGAGCATGGGGGGTGCCAGTCCCACTCCTGCACTCCCTGCCTCTTCCTCACCTACTCACCCCAATGAAGTCATAGATACCGCCTTCCCAGGTGGGGAAGAAAGTGGCCAAGAACAGCATCTGAGGGCAGAAGGCAGAAAGGTCACCTCAAGGTGAAGGGGATAACTCAATGGGTTTTATGGGAAGTTTGGAGGCTACAGGTGGAGGATACAGGTTTCTGGGGCCACGGGAAGAGGGTGGATCACTAGCTGGGGGAGACAAGAGGGTAGTTTCCCTGTTCCCTGAAGGGCTGAAAGTCACAGGGGAATCAGAATGAGGTCTACAAGAAGGTGCTGTGGCTTCCTGGGCAGTGTTAGCACCATGCAACACCCTGGGGTTAGCTATCGGTCTTAAGCATATGAAAACAAAACCCCTCTTAGCAAACCTCACAAATGACGTTTAGTTTCACCAAAAGTGCTACGAAAAAGTTGCTTAGAGACCTCTGCTGGAGTTGCACCCGTCTAAGGTCTAAGCAGAGGGGAGGGGTCCTCCCGCAGAGAGCCACAGTGGGGAAGAACAGCACAGCCAGGTCCCCGCGTCTAGAGAGCCCGTGGCCAGACACGTGGGTTCCAGGCGGCCCTCACCTTGCAGAGCTGCACAAAGAGGTAGGTGACCCCGGCTTGGACGCATTTCCAGAAGGCGTTGTACTCAGACCTGGAGGAGCGGGCGGTGAAGGCTCGACCCGGACTCCGCGCCCTTCCCGCCCCGTGCCCACCCCGCACTCACAGGCCGCTGCACTTGTACGTGATGAAGTAGGGAAAGTAGGCGAGAGCGAAGCAGTTCCCGAAGTGGAATAGGGTCATGACGCCGGCAACTCCGTCCCGCCGGCGCGGGAGTCGCGAGGGGGCGTCTCCAAGAGCCCGTCTACGGTTCAGCCGGCACTTTGGCCGGGCCGGGGCCTGGCGCCCACCTGACTGGCCCGGCCCGAGCGTGGCCTTCTGGGAGCCGTAGTCCAGCCAGGGCCGTCGCGCAAGTGACGTCAGGCCTGTCGCGTCGCACTCGTGACGTCATAGCACCGCCTCCCCCTCCCCCTTCCCAATAAGCTGTCCTGCACTGAGAGCTTCGGCGGTAGGTATCCTCCTCAGCGGGCGTAGCTGGCCGCGGCTACCTAGTTTCCAGACGTGAACCCTGACCTGGACGCGCAGTGACTGGCACAGAGACCGGGCGCAGTTGTGAACAGTTGAGTTTTTATTTTGCCCGGGGAGCCCAGTGTGAGAACGCAGAGGAGGAGCTTTGCGGCTCTACTACTCTCGGCTGAACATGTAGCAGAGGAGGTCGACCACCCGGTTACTGTAGCCGTATTCGTTGTCGTACCTGCGGAGGCACGGACAGGAGGAGGCTTCAGGGCAATCCCTGCGACCACCTGCAAGAGTTCCCCCACGATCCTCTGGCACCCCTTTTCCCTTACCAGGCGATGAGTTTCACGAACTTGTCATTGAGGGCGATGCCAGCCTTAGCGTCGAAGATGGACGAGTGAGAATCGCCGACGAAGTCCGTGGAAACCACCTGAGAGCCACAATTTTAAGGTTAAGGTTGGGTAGCTGAGCGAGAACCCCCAGGGGCTCAGGCTCTTGCTTTTAGGGTACACTGCCTAATCACTTCTAATATTTCATGGGGGCCTACTGTGCCTGGGGATGGGATGTGACCAAGGAACATAGAGGGTTTTGCCTGTGGGGAACTCTCAAAAGGACAGGCCACATGTGAAGTTGTACCTGTAATACCACTTTTTGGAAATAAGGTAGGTACATGGCCTGGATCCTCAGGGAGGCTGTCTCTAAGCGTGGCCATAAGACCTGGTTTCAGTGACCAGGACCTGGCAGCCCTGAGTACTCAGCACGGTGTCTGAAGCAGAAGGAGCTAGAGGCACACAGGCCCTGTGGGGTTTACTCCTAGTAATGGAACACAAAAGAATTTTTAGAAGTAGAGGTAATGTGATCAGATCCTGGTACTTCTGTGAGTGGGCCCGCAGGAGCCAGAGCAGGGACCGAGCACTGGCCGGTGTACAGAGATGGCATTTCTGAGGGAGACACCTACTCTCAGAGAAGACATTGATGGTAACATCCACTCCCAGACACCTGGCATGGCTTGGCTGTGTGAGCAAGTGTTCAAAAGCTAGGAAAGTGTTGAATGCCTGCAGTAACGCTATGACGCAGAAGCAATAGCTCTTTAATCCCTGCTTTCTAGGAGTGCACCTTTTGTGACAGTGACTGTGAAGTAGAATTTTTGGTGAGGAAAATGGCCACAGAAAGAACATCTTTCAAAGGGAAGGAGCAGGGCTTGAAATAAAGAATTGGAGGAAGTGAGGGCAGACTTGTGGCCAGATGGAGGATAGTGTTCTAAACCTTTAGAGCAGCAGGTACAGGGGCTGGAAGCAGGGAGATCTACCTTCCCAGGCCTGCAGTCCCTATCTTGACACACAAAGAATGACTCCTTGTTCCCGTAGTGTAGTGGTTATCATGTTCGCCTCACAAAGAATGACTCCTTGGCAAGTGGAGATTACCCTGAGCCCATCTTGGAGAGTTCCTCCCAAAGTCTCCTCAGCCCCTACCTCATCCTCAGTGTAGGCAAGGATACCAGCCATGGGTCCGTTGGCTGCTGCTTTCACAGCCTCTTTGATGGCCGAGTAGGAGGCAGGCTGGGCCAGGCAGCAGGTGAGGTCCACGACAGACACATCTGGGGTTGGCACTCGGAATGCCATTCCTGTTAGCTTCCTGGAGAGTCATGTAATAAGGGTGGGAGTCAGTGCCTGCCTCTTTACTTTGGGGCCGTCAGTCATTCTGGGGTTTGTCCGCCACCCTGGTTACAGCTCCCTACCCTCACGTACCCTTTGAGGTCGGGGATGACGGCACCCACAGCTTTGGCTGCCCCTGTGGAGGCTGGGATGATGTTCTGGTGGGCACCCCGCCCATCTCGCCAGGCCTTCTTTGATGGCCCATCCACTGTCTTCTGGGTGGCCGTGTAGGAGTGAACTGTGGTCTTGGGAGAGAAGATGTTGGAGGTGAGGCTTTCCTGCTCCCCAGATCCCATGCCTTGTTCTTCTAGGACTGGGTTGGTAGCCAAGGTATAGAGGCTGATGGGGTCAGCACCACAGACCATGTGGAGGAGAGGCCTTTGCAGGATAAGGTCCCAGGCTTGCAGGAGAGTTGTACACTTTGAAAACCAAACACTATCCAGGCATGCTAGCACATGCCCTTAATCTTAGTACTGGGGAGGCCAAAGATGAGGATTGTTGTAAGTTTGGACCAGCCTAAGATACATAGTAAATTCAAGGCCAGCATGGCAAGACCCTATCTCAAAAAAACAAAAACAAAAACAAAACCCTGAACACTAACACTGTCCACTGGTGGGCCTCTCCTCTCTAACTACCCTCTCTATGCTAACTACATACATGAAGCAGGGCCTGAGAGGTTGGCTTTCCCTGCTGTACCCCCTGCCCTACCCCTGAGCCCAAACTTACCATCAACCCCTGCACGATCCCAAATCGCTCATGGATGACCTTGGCGAGGGGGGCCAGACAGTTGGTGGTACAGGATGCGTTGCTGAAAGGGCCCACACATGCAAGGGGGCTGTGAGATGAGTCACAGCCTCCCCTCCACCCTCTCTTAAGATGGGGATGACAGAGCTTGGTGGGGATGCACTAGGTAGCGGAGACGCCCAAGGTGCAGCTGCAGAGGCTCCCTAAGCATGTCCTCCGGAAGTTGTGCATTTCTAACTGGTAGTGTTAGGGTGTCAATACCGTGGTTGTAAGGCTTAGAGACAGAGAAACAGCAAGCTGATGTGAAAGAAGCATCAGGGATCTAGAAGGATTTGGGAAACTGAATCTGTCCTTTCCCTTCCCAGGCTGGCCTGTCCCCTCAGGATGTTACTGCCCCAGTTACCTGACAATTTTCATGGACCCAGGGTTATAACTGCTCTCGTTCACCCCCATGACAAACATTGGCGCATCCGGCGAGGGCGCACAGATGACCACCCGGCGGGCACCTGCTGAGATGTGTGCCTAGCAAGGGAGAAAAAGGGTCAGTGCTTCAAATGTCACAGCCTCCCAGCCAGTCCTGGGCACCATACCCACTTACCGAAGTTGCTTCTAGGGATAGGTACGCGCCTGTGGCCTCCACCACATAGGGGTTCCCAACTTCATTCCAGGGTATTTCTCTGGGGTCCTTGCTGTGGAGGGGTAGCAGGGATGTGAGGCACTGTCCCCTGTACAGCCACTGCCTTCAGAGTCCACAGCCTTAACCATGTGAAGACATTTTACTGCTGACCAGAGACTGCTTGGCCTGTCACTGCCTATCCCCACATCCTGTGCATACCTAGATGCCCCTGCTACCTGGCCTTGCTTCTCATCATGACCTCTTATGGACCATTCCTCCTTGCCTGCACTACCCTGCTGTGCCTCCCTAACTCAGGCCACTACTCTCTCAGGGGAACCATTCCTGACTATGTTCTGTGGGGTCTCACCCTTTCAGCATAAGCTCCCCAGAGTGAGGAATTCGTGCTGCCAGGCCTGGTCTGCTGCTTTCTGGTCCACTTCACTGAGGGGAGAGGGAGCCTGGGGGCCCCCCTAGACCCCCTAGACCCTTACCACCAGTTCCCATAACAGTGTACCACTGGCAGAGCCTGAGAAGGCCGACACCCGCATCCAGAGGGCTGGGGGAACTGTGGTCTGAGGCAGGCAGCCTTATGATGCACCTCAAGGTCCTAGACAACTAATCCAAACCAGAGCTTATACAATGAGGAAATCAAGGATCAGAGCAGAAATGAATGAAATGAAGACAAAAAATACAAAAATCAAATCAAAGTTCTGTTCATTTGAAAGAATAAATAACATACACAAACTCTTAGCCAACCTTACCAAAACAAGGAAAGACACAAATTAATGCAATTAGAAATGCAAAAGGTGAGGGGCCGGGGAGATGGCTCAGTAGAATAAGCACTTCCCTGGTAAGCTCAAGGGCCTGAGTTCAATCCCCGGTTCCGCAAAAAAAAAAAAAAAAAAAACGCAAAAGGTGAAATTACAATAGACACTGCCAAAATAAAGGAAATTATTAGCAACTACTTAACATACATGCCAAACAACTGGAGAGCTCAGAAAAAAATGCAGAGATTTCTAGATACATACAAATTGCCAACACTGAATCATGAATACTTAAAATTTTGAACAGTACCATAATAGATAATTAAATTGAGGCAATACTTTTTTAAAAAGTACGAAGGAAAAATCTCAGACACAATGCATTCACAGCCAAATTGTACAAAAACTTCAGGGAAGATGTGACACCAATGCTCCTTAAACTTTTTATTTTTTATTTATTTTTTTTAAAGCTCTTTTAAAAAAAAAATATTTATTTATTTTGTGTGTGTGTGGCCAGCTCAGCCCACTAGGGGGCGGGGCTGGCTGGCATGTGGTGCTGGGGGATTGAACCGCGGTCCCTGTGCTTTGTTTAGCTTAGCTTGTTCTGAGTAGGTGCTTTAGACCACTGAGCCATCTCACCAGCCCTCCTTAAACTTTTTAATGAAACAGAGGGAAGGAGTGCTTCAAATATCATCTTCAGAAGCTAAAATTATTTTGATTCCCAAACCAGACAAGGATCAAACTAAGAACTACTAGGTAGGCCGGTTTCTCTAATGAGCATAAATGTAAAAATCCTTAAGATACTGTCAAGCTCAACAGATGTAGAAAAATATCTGACAAAATCCAAGATTCATTCATGATAAAAAAAAAAAAAAAAAAGAACTGAAGAAATCGGGTAAAGAAGGACCTTAACATGACAAAAGTCACTTACGACCAACCTACTGCCAATATCTTATTAAATAGGAAAAAGCTGAACACATTCCCTCTAAAATCAGGAAAAAGATAAGGATGTCCTTTATCAACACTTCTATTCTGCATAGTCCTTGATACATTAGCCAGAGCAGTGAAAAAAAAAAAAAAAGATAGATATAGGAAAGAACAAATTCAAAATATTATTTGCAGGTGACATGAGCCTTTACTTACAAGATGCAAAAAAAACTCGCCTGGGAAGATAGCTCAGCAGTCTGAGTGCCTGCCTGGCAAGCACAAAGACCCGGGTTCGATCCCTGGTACCACATGCTGTGCTGGCCCCAGAACCCTGGGTGTCAGAGCTGGCCATGGAGACTGGGTGTGGTACACGCCTTTAATCCCAGCGCTGGGGCGGCTGAGACAGGTAGATCACTAGAAGTCTGATCTAGATAGCAAAACCCTGTACCAAATATATAAATAAAAGATTTTTTAAAAATTAAAAACTCAGGGCCGGGGAGATGGTTCAGTGGAATAAGCACTTCTCTGGCAAGTGCAAGGACCTGAGTTCAATCCCCGGTTCTGAAAAAAAAAAAAAAAAAACTCTACCAAAAGACTCTCAGAATTGATAATCAAATTCAGTAGTATAATAAGAATACAAAATAAACATAAAAATCGATAGCATTCCCATACTTATAACTTACTACAAAAGAAATTAGGAAAACAAACCACTGACAATAGCATCAAAAATGACTTTAATTACTTAGATATTAATATAAAGAAATAAAAGGCCTCCATGATGAAAATTAGATCAGAATAAAAAAGTAATTGAATAGGACATCAGAAATTGGAAAAATATACCTGTTCCTAATTAGGCAGAACCAACATAATCAAAATAGATGCTCTACCAAAATGATATATTTAATGCAATCCAAGTCAAAACACCAATGCCATTTCTTACAGAGCTAGAGAAAAGAATCCTAAAATTTATAGGAAATCAGAAGAGATTAAGAATACCAAATGAGGGCCAGCCAAATAGCTCAGTAGATTAAAGCACCTGCAGGCAGGCGCAGGGGTTGGGGTTTCAACCCCCAGGCCTTCGGAGCTGGCCCCACCCCTGGGGCACACAGAGATGGCAATTGAGACTGGGCGTGGTGATGCACGCCTGTAATCCCAGCTCTTGGGAGGCTATAAGTAGGCAGATCACTATAAGTCTGATCTAGTAGTGAGACCCTGAACACCCTGTAGACCCTTCCCTAAAAGTACAAAAACAAACAAACAAAAAAAAAAAACAAAAACAAATGTATAATGAGAAACAAAAACCCAAGCTGGTGGCATCACAATTTCAGACTTGAAGTTATAGAGCTACAGTGATTTGGGGCTAGGGAGATAGCTCAGCAGTATAAGTGTCTGCCTGGCAAGCACAAGGTCCTGAGTTCAATCCCCAGTACCTCCCCCCCCCCAAAAAAAAAACTTATACAATGATTAAAATATCATGGTATTGGCATGAAAACAGCAATATGGATCAATAGAACAGAACAGAAGAAGCAGAAGCAACTCCAGGCACAGACAGCTATTTGGTCTTTAATAAAGGAGCCAAAAACATACACTGGAAGAAAGAGAACCTCTTTAATAAATGATCTTGGGAAAATTGGACATCTACCTGCAGAAAATGGAGTTTAGACCCATGTATCTCCCCATGTTCTAACGTCAAAATAGATCAAAGATCTGAACATTAAAACTGGAGCCATCTTCTGTAAGGTAAAGTAGGTACAACTCTTGAAGTAGGCAAGGACTTTCGGAACAGAATCCCAGGAGCACATGAAATAATACCAAGAACCAACAGATAGCATCATACTCAATTAAAAAGCTTCTGCATAGCAAAGAAAACCAACAGAGACAATTTATAGAAAGTGAAAAAAATGTTGCCAGCTACTCCATGAACAGAGGACTAGCATCAAGAATAAAGAACTCAAAGAAATTAGGATCCCCAAAATAAAAGACCCAATCAAAACATGGGCAACCAAAATGAATAGATACTTCTCAAAGTACAAATGGCTAATAAATACATGAAAAAATGTTCCTCATTGCTGGCCATCAGAGATGCAAATTAAAGCTACGATATACCATCTTACCCCAGAAAGAATAGCTAACATCAAACAATTCAATAATAACAAATACTGTGTAGTGATTTGAGTCAGCAGTTTACTGTACCAAGGGAGTAAGGAACAAAGAACAGAGCCTAAGGAAACTGGTTCCTTGTTACTCCAGGCGAGCTGGAGACAAGGTAGTAACAGATTCCTGGAGGCAGAGCCCTGTCTGTTCTTTGTTCCTTTACCAACCAGTGGTATGTAAACTAGTTGGTGAATGCCTGAAGCCAATACAGATAGCAGTTTGTTTACACCAAATTAGTTACGCACATTCCTTAGCCTGTTTGTAGCCCTCAATAAATGGTAGAAGTTTCCCTGGCTCAGGACTCACTTATAGACTAATCTCAGTGAGACCCCAGTGGTCAATTTCATCCAGCCTTGCTGTCGTTCTTCTCACAGCTCTGATCCTCTTACGACAATGTTGGGCTAGAGAAATAGCTCAGCAGTTCTAAGCGCCTGCCTGGCAAGTGCAAGGACCCGAGTTTGATCCCCGGTACCACATGTCATGCCAGCCCTGGAACCCCAGGCGCGGGTGCTGGTCCTGAAACAAGGCATGTTGGCACACGCCTGTAATCCCAGCACTGCTGAGGCTGAGACAGGAGGATCACTACAAGTCTGTGCTGCATAGTGAGACCCTATATCCAATAAATAAAAGGAAAAAAAAATTTTAAATGCTGGTGAGGATGTGGGTAGAAAGGAACTCTTACACTGTTGGTGGAAATGCAAACTAGTAAAACCACTAGAGAAATTAGTGTGTTGGGGCTGCTGAGATGGCTCAGTGGTCTAAAGCACCTACTTAGAACAAGCTTAGCAAAGCACAGGGACCGCGGTTCAATCCCCCAGCACCACATGCCAGCCAGCCCCACCCCCCTGGTGGGCTGAGCTGGCCACACACACACACACACACAAATAAATAAAATAAAAATAAAATGTTCCCAGTACAATTCTGGTTTTTTTTTTTTTTTTAAAAGGGGGGCCCTAGTCCCTCTACACGTGCTTACGGAACACCAGCCTCATGCCTACATGCTGAGTGCTAATTCATTAGCTCTGGTGACCAGCAGTGATGAACATCTTTTCATGTATCTCTTAGCCATTTGTACGTCCTCTGGGAAGTGTCTATTCATTTTTTTATTTTTTATTTATTTTTTTTAAAGCTCTTTTAAAAAAAAAATATTTATTTATTTTTATTTATTACATTTATTTATTGTGTGTGTGTGTGGCCAGGTCAGCCCACCAGGGGGCGGGTCTGGCTGGCATGTGGTGCTGGGGATCGAACCGCTGTCCCTGTGCTTTGCCAAGCTTGTTTCAAGTAGGTGCTTTAGACCACTGAGCCATCTCTCCAGCCCCTGAGTTCCTTATTCTTGATGCTAGTTATCTGTTCACGGAGTAGCTGGCATTTACCCCTCACAACACACTAGTCAGTACTATTAATGTCGTTTCTTAGAGAAGCTAGTGACAGCAGAGGCGAAGGCAGTGAGAGGCAGTGCTGGGTGAAGCCTAGGTGGCTGCGCCCAGGACCTGCGCCTCTAGCTACACCGCCTGAATGGATGAATGAATGAATTAATGAGCTTTCTGCTTCTCCCTGGTCCAGGACATACGCTCTTGTCATTGGCTGTTAGTACACACTTTGTATCATTTGCCCCAGCTAGCTCTTCTCTAATGTCTGTCTGCATTTTTTGGTCTTGTAAGTTGGCAGCATTTTATTTTTGAGATGGGGTCTTCCTATCCCAGTGTAGACATCACTCCCAGCTTATTTTATTATTTAAAAATT